TGAAAATGACATGAAATTAGCATTATAACCAGTAGATGGCAGCAGAGGATCACTCATCAGCTCAGCTGACATTTCCACTCCCTAGTTTTTGTGACATCTTGCTTTTGGATTTATTATAAAATTACTATTATACCATTTTTTTGTACTTTTACTGTACTAAAGTAAGTATACGGTAGAAGCTGATATATATTCAGCCAACACAGTTGCTGCTGAATTTACTCTGCATCACTTAATGCACAGCTCTATTTTGACATTGGCTTGTCAGATAATTAATTCCGTCCATTGCTACAATATTTATCACTGTCAATCATAGCAATGACTCGTGGAACAATTTAGCAGATTGACTCGCGTAATTTTTTACACTCGCGTTATTTGTCATCCCTGAAACAGACTAACAAACCTTTTCTTCAAAATGTAAATGGATTATGTGAGAAACCTTTTTTCTTGTTATAATGGAAAGATCTGCGAGCGCGTAGAACTCCGTAAACTTGTGAAAACAATTAGTTCAGAGCGGATTCTGACTAACCTACAGTAAACACCTCTGATCTGATTCTGATCTGATTTGTGCATGGCGCGCCACTATGGAAATGATAAGATGACATGTATAGATTATTTAATTATTTATTAATGCGTTTTTGTATAATTACCATTGCCATTGACACAATATATCACCAAAAAAAATAAAAAAATCGGCAGCGGCTATTTGCACTGTGTAAATAGCGAAGATTATATTTACACTATGTTCAAATAGCAGGATTTTACTTTTTGCAAATAGTGGCAATTATCTGCACCTCAGTATTATAGTACATTATAAAACAGTATGCAATAATAACTTATTGAGTGTAAACTTTAAATTTAATTCAAATTATTAAATGGATGCCACCTTATTGGGACAATAAGGTGGCATCCCTCCCTACACCTACCCTAACCCTACCCGATACTTTATTTTCAACTTTTTGATTATTTCCTTCATCTTCATTGAAAATAAATTTCAATGTTACATTTTTCTGATGTGATTTGAAATTTGAAAAGGGAGAAAAAAGTTTGCCAAAATGTGGATTCGAACCCGGGTCGATCGTGTCAAAATGAGCAAGTCACACGTTTTACCATCTGCGCCACTGGAGCTGATGACTGTTGGCTGTCTTTTGTGTAATGTTCACTAGCCGAATCACACGTTGGTGGGCGGAGTTCGTGTAAATAGACTCTGCCAACAAGGCGGGCTATTTGCACTTAGTGTAAATAGACACTCCGAAAAAAATCAAGCCATTTCATGTACTCTTGGGGGCCCCCTGGTGGCCACGGGGCCCTAAGCAGCCCCTTAGTTCACTTATGCCTTGGGCCGGCTCTGGGCAAAAATCAAGCTTAAATGGATTAGACTCACTGTTAAAAAAAAAACCTTTTACAACTTAATGCTGCCTTGAAATTTAAGCTTAGTCAAATTGAAATATGAAGTTGGTGAAAACGTCTTAGGTTACTTATGTAACCATGGTTCCCTGAGTAGGGAACGAGACACTGCGTCCTCTAGGCTTCTTGCCATGCTTCGAACGCAAGCTTCAGATGAAGAAGTGAATGATGTGTGCTCCCGGCGCTTATTTATACTATAGTCGCACCGGTAGTGACGTCATGGCTGTCGCCGGCCAACGAGTTGGTGTTTTTCAATGTATGCTTCAGACACGGGTCACGACGAGGCGTTCCCCATAGCGACCCCTAGAGGACGCAGTGTCTCGTTCCCTACTCAGGGAACCATGGTTACATAAGTAACCTGAGACGTTTCTATATGGGTCATTTTAGACCCATGTGTGTAAAATTGATGTAGAAATAAAAAAACTGTGTTTGTTTATAAAGTCAAAAAGGTAAAATAAACAATTATTTGTGGAAATCAAAAACAAGATATTTAATGAATACCTGAAATAAAGCAAAGATTGAGCAAAGAAACACTCAACCATGATTGAAATAACATAGGAAATGAATACAGGTCATTTTAGACCCATGTTGTGCATTAGAGGGGTAGTGATACAAAAATGACTTTTATTAAAAAGGATTATTGGATTTGTGATGATCAAAAACAAGTTAATTAATGAATTCCTGGAATTCTGAATGATGAAATTAATTTCTTGTAAAGATATAGAAAAAATAAGCTCAGTCGGGTCACTTTAGACCCATGTTGTGCATCAAAGGGTTAAAAAAAGTTTTATTTCGACAAGTATCAAACACAACTGGTTCCAACTAATCACAAACATCAAAAAATAAACAAATATATACAAAAAAAAAACCTAATAAATAAAAACTACTACTAATTACAAATAACACCTCATGTATAAATGTTTCTCACATATAAACATATAAACTAACATCCAAATGACTGTGTGTATGTGAGAGAGAGAGAGAGAGAGAGAGAGAGAGAGAGAGAATACTCCCTACATTATGGGGACCCCACGAGGATAGTAATACCAGTAATCAGGGCCATCCTTTGGGCAGTGAAACTAGTGCGGTCGTACCAGACCCGGTGCTTTGAGGGGGCCCCGCGGCGAACGGACCGAGGGGACCCTAAACCCCCACCCCCGAAACGCAGTCGCCATAGGAAAGAGGGGGCCCCACTCCCTATACCTCACACAGAGCCCCGTGTCAGCTAAGGATGGCCCTGCCAGTAATACCTGTAAATTTTGTCCTTGTGGGGCCATTTTTTATCCCCATGAGGAAACAAGCTTATAAATCATAAATCACAGAAGTATTTTTTTTTTTGAAAATCTAAAAGTTTTCTGTGAGGGGTAGAGGATAAAATTTACAGTTTGTACAGAATAAAAATCATTAGTCTATGGAATATCTCCATAAAACATGGAAACCCAATGTCTGTGTGTGTGTGTGTGTGCACGCGTGCGGGCATTATGTAGTACTAATGAAGAAGATTGATAATAATTGAATAATAATGCACATTCTTTGAGTTTTCTGAGCTTGTAAAAACTGCCCAGGAGGACATGAATGCATCATATTCCAGATTATGCATCGGAGCACATTTCCATCCTGCACAATGCTGCCCTGAGGCAACGAACAAAACAAAAAAAACACGGTTTTAGTATAAATAAAAATAAAATAAGTCTTTAAACAATCAAACATACTTCCTTACATACTAATGCACATGCATGTATTTTTTAATAAAGTTATTTAAATTTAAACATGTTAAAAAGTTATATTTATCTTACCAATTGGTGACACTGGGCCTCATTTATCAATCTAAAGTAGAAACGAGCGCAGATCCGTGTGCACAAATCAGTTTACGACAGAGGTCACGTGTGATTTATGAAACATTCGTATGCCGCCAATCTCATCGTACAAATGATTGCTCGTTGATAAACGCCCCTAAAACACCCCGGTTTAGAAGCCTCGCCCCTAGAGTTTACGACACGGAGACCCGGCCAAAAAAAGGAAGTAATCTCATCAAAGGGAAATTGATAAGACTCCAAAAACACCCATTAACCTTGTAATTGCAAACAATTAGGCTACATTAATTTATGTAATTTATAAGAGTGACACAAAAACGAGTGTAGCCTATACTTGTTGCAGTTTTTTCCCCTTTTGTTAATCTGTTAATTATATTATATTATAGCCTATTATATATTTTTTGTGGTGCTATTTATTTTATTCCTTTTATAGACTTAATTTCTGTTTTTCTCCGTTCACAGAAGAGCTGGGCGAAAAATGCTGGCGAACGATAGCGGAAGCACTTCAGCAATGCTTACACTCTTGTTTTCGGAAGTCAATAGCTAGTTCCGCCTTCTCGATGACATCACGTGCGTCGTTAAAGACGGCACGCGATGAATGGTCGGGAAGCAACGTGTAGTCTGACATGTTTCTTGTACACGACAGGTCAAGATTTTAGGAGTCAAAATCGTGTAATCTGTGTCTATCGTGACCGACAAAAATATTGTGTAGTCTGAACCCAACATTACTGGTCAGTGATCGATTAATGAGCTTCGGTTGTCGGTCGGGAAAATAACCTAACAAAATGCTGTCATTCTACAATTCTCCACCAGATTTATATGCTGCGCGCAAGTTCAGGCTAATAAAAACTTGCGTTCACGAGCTGAGACCAGACGTGAGATTTGATCGTAGCCACCGTTCACGTCCATATTGATAAATTACAAGGTTTGCGTTGAAATGACCGTACGCCCAATTTTCTGTCGTACGTTCATTTCGTAAATGAAGCCCATTGTGTCCATTGTAGCTTTTCTTCCTGAAAGGATTGCCCTATTGCAATAGGTAGCACTTCAAAGTTAATTATGAATCAAGACTAGTTAGCACCTAATTTATAATTGAAATGGTTTAATAACAGTATTTCGTTATGGTTACACTTGAATTAGTTACAAAATAGATGAAGGATGGTAAAACATAAACAGTTAATTGTACCCAGCATGTATGTAAAATGTTATCTTAGTTAAGAGAGAGAAAGAGAGAGAGGGGGAGATAGAGAAACAGAGAAAAAGAGGGAGAGAAGGCAGAGCCCCAAGAAGAGAGTGCTAGCAAAGAAAAGAGGTTGCAAAGAGAAAGAGACAGAGCAACAGTTGCAATCTTCTTTTATCCCTTACTTGACCATGTGACTAAAAACCAAATGTGAGACATTCAAACTGCAAATTTGAGGCCTTTTACTTAGTATTTTAATTAGTGATGCGCCGATCATAGCTGATTCAGAATTCAGATTTTCTTTTCTTTCTTTCTTTTTTTTAACTAGCAAATTGGCTGATTCTGATACTGATTTTTAAGCGAATTTATCGCGATCGACGGGTTGGCGACGACTGCCATAGAGGGTTAAGAAAGGGTTTACATTCTCTGTTCTTCTTTCTGTAGATCAGTGTCATTTTGAAGGGTGGAGCTACTGGAAGAGTTTATTCACACTTACTGCAGAGCTTAAACCACTTCACTACAAACAGACAGCTTTATGAAACATTAAAACATCAGCAGTGTTCTATGCTATCTCTTGTGGAACTTTACAAAACTGCTGGAAAATGTTTGAGGCATTTATTTTCTTCTGTTTGTGCTTGTGGAGTCTGACTGGTAAGTATTTTTATGGCTTCATTTACATTTACATTTAGTCATTTAGATGCTTTTATCCAAAGCGACTTACAAATGAGCACAATAGAAGCTATCAAAATCAACAAAAGAGCATCTGTGTTCATTTCAACATTTCAAAATCAACATTTGTGTTTATTTGACCAATTATCCATGTACACAATGTTCTGATAGTCATTATTTCCATCATTCGTTTTGCATCTAATATTTATTTAATAGTTTCGCCAGACTAAAATACTCAAGTACTTCTGTGTTTTTCATTTCAGCACTAAAATTATAGTGAATTATTGGATTATCCATTAGAATTAGTGCAAAGTTTAAAAAAAAAATTGTTTTGTTCTAACAAATGGTTAATAGTTATAATTATAACAGTATAATTAGTTTCACAATTACTAAAACCCTGTTTCTGACTAAATGTTTCTGCATGTTCTTCAGGTGTGTTTGGTGTTGATGAAGTGAAGTCAGTGTCAGTGATGGAGGGAGATTCTGTCACTTTAAACATTGATGGTACTGATATACAGATAAATGATGTGGCTGAGTGGAGGTTTGGACCTGAAGACATTCTCATAGCCAAAATCAGCAAACAGAACAATATGAGCATTTTTCATAATGATAGTGCTGATGGGAGATTCAGAGACAGACTGAAGCTGGATCATCAGACTGGATCTCTGATCATCACAAACACCAGAACCACAGACTCTGGAGTTTATAAAGTAACCAGCAACAGCACAGAGACACCGCTCAACACATTCAGTCTCACTATCTATGGTGAGTTAAACACTTTTCACACTCTCACTAGTTGATTTAATTTCTCTAATATCCAACATTGTATGTACATCATCACAGAAGAATTCTGTCATTTCTCTGAAGCCACCGTCACATCTTAAAGGGATATTTCACCCAAAAATGAAAATTCTGTCAGCATTTACTCACCCTTTATGATGAATGTTGGTAACCAAACAGTTGCTGCTCCCCAGCAGTCAATGGCTACCAGCAACTGTTTGGTTGCCCAAATAAAATAACCATCTGTTAATTGCATTTTTTTCCGCAGCTCATCTGCCGATCCCTGTCATCACCATGTACTGTCCACAAAATTCTTCATCATCACCAGGATCATCGGTGTCCAAATGTGTGCTGCTGTGTTTAGTGTTGAATGTGAGTCATGTGACTCTCTCCTGGTACAAAGGAAACAGTTTATTGTCCAGCATCAGTGTGTCTGATCTCAGCATCAGTCTCGCTCTACCTCTGGAGGTGGAATATCAGGATAACAACACCTACAGCTGTGTGGTCAACAGTCTCACCAGTAACCAGACCACACATCTGGACATCAGTCAACGTTGTCACACATGTCCAGGTACAATATATATATTTGTTATATATATATATATATATATATCCCTCTACCCCCACAAATCATATTTCTGTTTTCTAACGTTGTTTATTTCTTCTCTCGCAAGACTGCATCCACTGTTGCGGTTCAACTGAAGCTGTGATCCGATTGGCTCTCTCTGCTCTGGTGGGCATGGCTACTGTTGCTGTGCTGGTTTATGAATTCAGATCCAGTCTTCAACAAAAGAGAAGACAGCGGACACTGCTATCAAACTCTGATTAATCAGATAGTCAGGGAGGTGGAGATACGCTTTTCACAGTACTTTTCACAGTACAAATGGTTCTAAAGCAGCTTTACAAAAAATAGTGCCTTAAACCCACTGTGATTAATTTGAAAATCAATAAATATAATGATTTTTTTGTGCTCTTTTGCTTCTTTTCACACTTAAAACTAAAATAAAACCCCACAGACCAACTAAACTACCAGCTGTATCAATAAACCAATGTAAAATGTGTTTGTACAGATATAAGCAAATAATCAGTTGAGACCGGATGAGAGAGAAGACCTGCAAGTGAACTTTAGCGTAAACACGCTGTGGTTTAACGTGCTGCTGATAAAATAATTGCTTGTAAGCAGTTCTGCAGGAAGCTGAAGATCTCAGGAGCCAAAGGTGACAAATATGATGCAATTTCTTTCTGCTTTTTTGTATGTAAAGGTGTGTGGGAGAGATGAAGTGTGAAAACCAGAGCAGAAACTGACCACTGCATTGGAAAAGGTTGTTTTTAATACTGAAAAATGACATTTACATCTGTTTTATATCTGATCATCCCCAGTTAACAACATATATTCTAACAACATTTTGACTAACAGTTTGCTAATTATCAAATGAATGTTTTCTGAATGGCCAGTTTTGCAAATGTTTTTAAAAACCTTTTTCTTGGTTATGCACACATAAAGTATAATTTTACTTTTATACTTTTGCAAACATTTTATGGGAGTGTTATTTTGTTGCCTGAACATTCTGAAACAAGTGGTAACATTAGACAAAGTTTCACAAACATTGTATGAAAAAAAATAAATTGTGCAAATGTTTTAGGAACATTATTCAAGACCAGAATACTTAACATTCTCTCATTCTGAGAACATTCCCTGCTAACTGCGTCACTAGAAGTTCCTATGAAAACCTCAGTATATTATTCAGTGATCTGTAGTGTGTCTGATCATGAATCATCAACTGATTTTATGCAGCAGCTCAGGTTCCTCACTGAACTCTGTTTACATGAATTTAATGTCTATCATAGTGATGATGACTGAAATCATTTTTGTTTCTGAAGGTCTATTCATGAAGTAGTAAAATTTGGCATAATACTAGAATAACCAATTTACTTTTCAAATTTCACAGTACTTTCAGTGGCTTAGTGTGTGTTTTATTTTCTCTATTTCATAGTACGGGCATAACCTCTGATTATTGTTTGAGCTTTAACTAAATTGTACATAGGACTGTAGAGGGCTAAACAGAACTAGCCTACTATTTAAAGAATGGTAAGCATTGGTGACATATTAAATAGTATTAGTCATAACCTCTGGCTAATGATCAGATTGGCGAGTTCATGATCGTGAGGTCCGCATAAAATGGCCAATTGGAGACATTATTCCAAATGAATGAGTAAATATAAAGTAAAGTGTTAACTAGAATAAACAAATGTTATAATAATAATAATTAGAAATGGACAAACAACCAATTTGCATTTCAATATAAATTCGAGGTTATAATGGAGTCAGATTAGAATTTAATTTAAATTCAAATGAATGAGTAAATATAAAGTAAAGTGTTAACTAGAATAAACAAATGTTAGAATAATAATAATTAGAAATGGACAAACAACCAATTTGCATTTCAATATAAATTCGAGGTTATAATGGAGTCAGATTAGAATTTAATTTAAATTAAATAACTTGGTGCACCGAAAAGATTAAACATGCAGGAAACCTTCATCCACCATCGGATAGTGGGCCAATCACGCGGACCTTATGCCTGTGTAAATTAAAAAGAAACAAAAAAGCACCAGATGTTAAAGTAGATCACTGAGTCATCTGTGAACAGAGATGTTTAGATGAGCCCCCCCCCCCCCATGCCTGTGTAAATTAAAAAGAAACAAAAAAGCACCAGATGTTAAAGTAGATCACTGAGATGTTTACATGTATGATAAAACATACATGTTTTATTATTTTCTATTTATTATATTTACGTTTGTTTTATTTTATCTATTTAGCCTATGTATTTTTATTTATGTAGGCTATCTTTACTTTTGTTAATACACTAAATCGCAACATGTTGATTGTTCATACTCTGTTAATTTGTACTTTTCATTTTACTTTAACAGTATGTTTTACATTGTCAAATGTTATTTACAAAATGTTAATTAAAAAAAAAAAGTGAACTGGCGCTCAAATGAACGACTCCTTCAAGAATTGATCATCACTACAGGGAAGTGGATCTTTAGGTCCAGAGATGAGGAGATCGCAGGATGTCTTTGTCCATATAAGGGGTTTCCTGCATTAATTTTTTACTTCTATGCGTCCGGGGAGAGCGCGCCCTCTAGCGTCCAGTATGAATGAAACCGACATTATAAGAGCGTTTGCTCATCTGCCGCGCGGATGGACGCGCTGCGCAGAGCTGTACCGAGGTGAGAGTTTTGTTCTTAAAAAGTGTATTTTTTCTGAAAATGACTGATCGTTTCGTTAGAGAAGAGCCTTATTCGTCGACTGGGTCGTGTGGAGGCCATTGGAAGCGGCTTAAATTTGGGGTTTGGATCGTTTATTTGCATTCGACAGGGGGGAAAAATCCTGGATTGTTTCCCTCCAAAACAACTCTTCGGCTGAAGCAAGGAAGTTATATACCTCTCGGATGGCATTTGGGTGAGTAATAATCAGGAAAATCTGACTTAAGGGCAAACTTTTCCTTCCTTGTGTGGTAAAGAAGGTGGAGATTGACTTTTTTTTCCTGTGCAAACTTTTCTCTTGCTTTTTCATACGCCTTGTAATGCACGTTTAAACTGTCTCTTCTTGGCCACAGTACAAACAGTCCTGTTTTATCTTTCCCTATTCTTAATGACTGATTTAAACAAATTTGAGTGGCCAGTTTGGTTCTATATATTATCTTCTTACCTGTTGTTAGTTATTATTATTATACTCTTTGGATACTATCTCTCCCAGTTTCTTTGTTCCATATTTCTTGCCAAAACTCGTTATTTTCCTCATTAACGTTAGTTTCTTTATTTTTCCACTTGCTATCCCAGTTTTTTTTTCTTATTTTACTGCAGTCTGTATGACTTGTATATGTTTTCATGTTTGATGTTTTGACTCCTCTCGCATTATCTGCATACAGATCTTCCTCTATCTTTATTTATTTGCTGAAATTTGATCTATCTTTACCTGGTTTCACATCTGACACAATAACAGCATGCTTCCATGAAGCTGGGAGTATTCCTGTACTTCATACTTATGCAGATACAGTATAGCATGTTAACGCATATCAAATAGGCTTTTAATCATAGTACTGTATAGCATATCTTGTTTGGTTGGCTCCTCCTAATGCCATATATCTGTTATCCCTATATTTTTCTTATGCACTTTTATGCTTTCTCAGTGCTTGTCACTGCTGTTCTTTCTCCATTGCTAAGTTTTTCTTGTATTCTGCCCATTTCCCTAATCGTATCCCATACTTATGTTTCTTCTGCAATTGATTTACAAATTCTGCAGTTATTTTTGCATGTTTATTTATTAAACATGTTTATTTGCATTATGCTACTACTTTTAAATCTGCTTTTTAAATATAAAATGCACTTTTAGAATGAATGTGTCCTCCTAAATTTCCTTATTCCTAGTATTAATTGCTTGACTACACATGTTTGTCCACCATGGCTACTTTCTTTCTTTTTTTGATCCAATTCTTTTGAGTAACTTCTCAGTTTCTTAAAGTTTTTATTCCTGCAGCTTTATATAACTTGCATACATTTTCATCTGTACATCTTTTCATCTGCTTTGTTAAATTATACCTATTTTATGTATCATTGAATGGTGATCACTACCTATTGCATCTTTAACATTTCCTTTACCATTTTCCTATTATTATAAATATTATTCCTGACCCATATTGTATTAAGTGCATTAACATTACCACACCATATTGTTTTCAGACTACTCTTTCTCATTACTGTTTCTAAAGTCTTAAATTCCATTGTAAGATTTTGTCTGTGTTTAAAAGTGCCTGATACTTTAGTGTCTTATTTCTTCTATTGCATCATCTTCGACACTGGTATTTTCCAGTGTTTTAATATATATCTTGTATCATTTCTTTTCTGCTGTTTGATGTTTTGACTCCTCTCGCATTATCTGCATACAGATCTTCCTCTATCTTTATTTATTTGCTGAAATTTGATCTATCTTTACCTGGTTTCACATTTGACACAATAACAGCATGCTTCCATGAAGCTGGGAGTATTCCTGTACTTCATACTTATGCAGATACAGTATAGCATGTTAACGCATATCAAATAGGCTTTTAATCATAGTACTGTATAGCATATCTTGTTTGGTTGGCTCCTCCTAATGCCATATATCTGTTATCCCTGCAAACTTTTCCTTCCTTGTGTGGTAAAGAAGGTGGAGATTGACTTTTTTTTCCTGTGCAAACTTTTCTCTTGCTTTTTCATACGCCTTGTAATGCACGTTTAAACTGTCTCTTCTTGGCCACAGTACAAACAGTCCTGTTTTATCTTTCCCTATTCTTAATGACTGATTTAAACAAATTTGAGTGGCCAGTTTGGTTCTATATATTATCTTCTTACCTGTTGTTAGTTATTATTATTATACTCTTTGGATACTATCTCTCCCAGTTTCTTTGTTCCATATTTCTTGCCAAAACTCGTTATTTTCCTCATTAACGTTAGTTTCTTTATTTTTCCACTTGCTATCCCAGTTTTTTTTTCTTATTTTACTGCAGTCTGTATGACTTGTATATGTTTTCATGTTTGATGTTTTGACTCCTCTCGCATTATCTGCATACAGATCTTCCTCTATCTTTATTTATTTGCTGAAATTTGATCTATCTTTACCTGGTTTCACATTTGACACAATAACAGCATGCTTCCATGAAGCTGGGAGTATTCCTGTACTTCATACTTATGCAGATACAGTATAGCATGTTAACGCATATCAAATAGGCTTTTAATCATAGTACTGTATAGCATATCTTGTTTGGTTGGCTCCTCCTAATGCCATATATCTGTTATCCCTCATACTTTTTTCTTATGCACTTTTATGCTTTCTCAGTGTTTGTCA